CTCTACCACTTGAGCTACAGCGCCACTTCCAGTTTCCTAGTGGTTTATTGGAGATAAGAGTTTCCTGGACTTTCCTGCCCGGGCTGTCTTTGAACCAAAATCCTCAGATCTCAGCTTCCTGAGTAGCTAGGATTACAGGTGTGAGCCACCGGCGCCTGGCTTTTTTTTTGATGAAGAAAGCTTAGCAAAACTAACTCTCCCACCTTTAAAAAGGCTCACAGAATGTTAAGCAACACAGCATATTTGTATCCTTCCCACCTCTTCACCTGAAGAGATTTGTAAGACTCTTGAGGACACAATAAAATTGTATTACTCATTTTTTAAAAATTGTGAATATTATTACTCATTTTACTTTCTAAGTTTAATAGAATGCATGCACACATTTCAAATAAGTAACATTTATGAGAAACTAGAAATGCTTAAGGATGGAGTTCTAAACTTGTGAGACAATCAACATTTACATTTACTATATACCATTTTTAAATACTTCATAATATCTCACTTACTCATATAAAACTTAAAACCCCTATTTTTTTTTTTTTGGCGGCCGTGGGGCTTGAACTCTGGGCCTGGGCGCTGTCCCTGAGCTCTTCAGCTCAAGGTGAGCGCTCTACCACTTGAGCTACAGCGCCACTTCCGGTTTTCTGGTGGTTTATTGGAGATAGGAGTCTCATGGTCTTTCCTGCCCGGGCTGGCTTTGAACTGCGATCCTCAGATCTCAGCCTCCTGAGTAGCTAGGATTACAGGCGTGAGCCACCAGCGCCCGGCTAAAACCCCTATTTTATATAAGAAACTGAGAACAAAAACTAAAGAAGCATGCCCAAGATCGTAAGGAGAAAAGTGGAATCTGACTACTTAAATCCCTGTTAATTTAGAGTTTATTTTTTTTTATTTTTATTTTCCAGGGCTGAGGACTGAACACAGTGCCTTGTGCGGGCTGGGCGGGCGCCCTTCCACTGGGCTAAATCCCCAGCCCCTAGAGTTTATCTTTAATAGTTGTTCTTGTCCCCTGAATTCATATTCTTTCTCTTCTGCATAAGACGAATAAATACCCTAAAAGTTTTTAAAAGATAACGATAAAGCTTAGATCAGAAATGATATTAATATGTTGGGGCACTGCTGACTCACGTCTATAATCCTAGCTACTCAGGAGGCTGAGATCTGAGGATGACAGTCTGAAGCCAGCCCAGCAGGAAGGTCTGTGTGAGACTCTTATCTATAATAAAGTACTCAGAAAAACCTGGAAGTGGCGCTGTGGCTCAAGTGGTAGAGCACTAGCCTTGAGCACAAAGAGTCTTAGGGACAGCATCCCAACCCCCGAGTACAAGCCAAAAAAAAATAAAGTTCATGTGTTGCCGTCTTGGTCCCTAGCCCATGGTGCTATTGGGAAGGGGTGCAGACTTAACAGTTGAGGGAAGGAAACAGGTAGTTCAGGATATGTCCATGGGAATATTGATATCCTAGCTCCTTCCTGTTTTTGTGCCATGGGCCCAACTGACCATGATCCTTTATTGATGCTGAATAATTAATCTAGGCCCTTGCATAAACTAGGCAAACTCTCCACCACGAAATTATACCTCTGGTCTTTCAAGTTATTTCAAATCATCCTCAATGGCTTCTACCTATAGATTTCCCTTGTATTTCCCCTAATCTTACTATTACCTATATTCTAGTCCTTTCTGGGGAGAAGGACAGGGGAAAGAGTACTAGGAGTTTGAACTTAGGGCTTGGTGCTTGGCTGGGTAGGATAATAATATTTGAGCCATGCTTTCAGCCTTTTCTTTTCTTTTTTTTTTTTTGGTATCATGGGGCATGAACTCCGGGCCTAGGTACTGTTCCTGAACTCTTTTGCTCAAGGCTAGTGCTCTACTGCAATATCTCAAAAGTGCTGTGCACAGCTGAAAGTGAACTAGTACTACTGGTTTTCCTCCTAACATAGAATATTTGAGTTATTTCCTTGCAGAGGTTAGAATTCATTCAAGCAATTATTATGTACTTATATAAGGAAGCTATGGAAACAAATATGAGCATCTGAAGAGTACCCTCAACAAAATCATATTCAGTGAAACAAAATACCTGCAATGAAGTATTGTAGTTGTTAAGAGACACATAGTACTATGTAATCCTAGAGTTGTAAGAATTACTTAGAGGTTTAGATGTATGTGATAGGAAGGTATTCACAAAAAAGAATGCCAAAACTTGAAGAGAAATTTCTTTCTAGGTAAGAGAAAAAAAGGACAGTAAAATGGAAAATATTGCACTTAGGCTAGGAAGAGTAACATGAGCTCAGTCGTTAGCATAATGTATTATGAGACCAGGTATTGGGGCTGGGAAGGTGACTCAGCGGTAGAGTACTTTGCTTGCCTCTCATGCATGAGGCCCCGGGTTCAATTCCTCAGCACCACATAAACAGAAAAGGCTGGAATTGGCACTGTGGCTCAAATGGTAAAGCACTAACCTTGACCTGAAGAACTCAAGGACAGCCCCCAGGCCTAGAGTTCAAGCTCAAACTGACCAAAAACCACCACCACCATCACCACCACCACCACTACCACCAAAACAAACAAACAAAAAAACCCACAAAAGAAAAAAAATAACCACGAAAGACCAGGTACTGACAAATTACAACTCATGTGCTTGATAAAGCCCAAGTGTTGTTTTTGAGTGTCACGGGGCTTGAATTCTGGGCCTGATCGCTGCCCCTCAGCTCTCCAGCTCAAGGCTATAGCGCTCTACCACTTGAGCCACAGCACCACTTCTGGCCTTTTCTGCTTATGTGGTGCTGAGGAATCAAACCCAGGGCCTCATGCATGCAAGGCAAGCATTCTACCATTGAGCCAACTGCCCAGGCCCCACTTTTGGTTATCTAGTGGTTTATTGGAGATAAAGAGTTTCATGGCCTTTCCTGCCCAGGCTGGCTTTGACTGTGTTCCTCAGATCTCAGCCTCCTAAGTAGCTAGGATTACAGCCCAAGTGTTTTTATATGGTTTATGAGTTAATTACTTTTTGTTTTGTTTTGGTCGTGAGGCTTGAACTCTGGGCCTGAGAGCTGCATGAGCTCTTCAGCTCAATGAGCGCTCTACCACTTGAGCCACAGTACCATTTCTTGTTTACTGGTGGTTAATTGGAGATAAGAGTCTCATGAACTTTCCTGCCAGGGCTGGCTTTGACCCACGATCCTCAGATCTCAGACTCCTGAGTAGCTAGGATTACAGGCATGAGCAACCATGCCCAGTTCTAATTACTATTTTTAAAGGGATGCAAAAATGAAAGAGGAAGCAGCAGTAATATATAATATTGAATTTAGCATACTAAAATATTTACTATCTGGCTCTTCATAGAAAAAATTTATTGGGGGCTGGGAAGGTGGCTCAGTGGTAGAGTGCTTGCCTTGCATGTATGAGGCCCTGGTTTCAATTCCTCAGCACCACATAAGCAGAAAAAGCTGGAAGTGGCACTGTGGCTCAACTGGTAGAGTGCTAGCCTTGAGCTGAAGAGCTGAGGGACAGTGCCCAGGCCTCACAACCAACAACAACAACAACAAAATATCAATCCCTGCTATAAATGATACAGAGCCAATTGAATGGATTTTAGGAAGGTATTTGATATATTAAATTCTTTTGTGTGTGTGTGTGTGTGTGTGCGTGCGCGCGGAGCTTGAACTCAGGACTTGAGCTTGTTTTGCTCAAGGTTAGCACTCTACCACTTGAGCCACAGCGCCACTTCCGGTCTTTTCTGTTTATGTGGTGCTGAGGAATGGAATCCAGGGTTTCATGCATGTTACGCAAGCACCGTACCACTAAGCCACATTCCCAGCCCGAAATTCACTTTTTATCCTATCTTCCTTCCTTCCTTTGAGATGGGAGTCTCAGTAGGTGCCCAGGCTGGCCTTGAACTCCTAGGTTCAAGTGATCCTCTTGGCTCAGCATCTTGAGTTGCTGGGGCTACAGGTGCATGCCACTGTGCCCAGTTATGTTCTATAGTTTTAGGATTATCATTCTGACAGTTCTATGGAAGATGAGTATGGAGATACGAAAACAATAAAGGGCATACAACAATGTGACATGATAAAATTCTCAACTGATAGAGAAAATGTCATTAGGGACTGCTTGGCTAGGGGAAAGAGTGAGGAAGAGTAAGGGAAAGCAGCAGCCAAGGAATTCATAGGTATTCAAGCTTGAGCAATCATGTGTATGTTATTACTGTTACAGAAATAGCAAATAAGAAACAGCAAATTGACGGAAATGAAGTTAATACAGTTGGCAGCCACATAGTCAGTCTGGAAACAACAATCTATACTACATATATAACAGGCTTTGGATGAACATCTGGTAAATGATTTGAAAGGAAAAAAAACAAATGCACTAAATATTTTATGACTTATTCTCAACATCACTCTTATACAAAGTTGTTACAATAACTCTAAATCATACCTTGGAAGGAGGTGGTACAGGTTTAGGAACCAGGTTCTTATAGACACTTGGGACCATGGTTGATGCTTTGTTCCCATTTGCATGTTGGGATGCAGGTGAGGTGAATGCAGCAGAGAAGGCAGCAGCAGGATCCTCTTTGGAAACTTTTTTGATAACTAGCATCTTAGAGGGTTGCTTGGCACTAGGTGGGTTTTCTGTGAAATACAATAATGGGGATACAAAAGAATGTCATAGCTGTTGAATAACACAAAGTGTTACGATTATACAAGGGCATCTTCAACAAAGAACTCATAGTAGAGACTGTGGGAGAAATTTTTCATGTATCAATTTGACAGATACTTTCCAAAGTGGCACTACACAGAACTACAAAAAAAGGCAGCATGTGAAGTATTTGGTATTAACTGTATATACCAGTCAGAAACCACAAAGCAGTCCTTCAGGGTACAGCTTCTAATGTATAGTGAGACTAGTCAAGCACAGACCAAACGGCACAGACCAAACAAGAATATATGCAAGGGCAGAAGATATATGGTAGTCCATGCTTATAATCCCAGTATTGAGGTAGGGGATCTTGCTACATAGCAAGGCTCTCTCTCTCTCTTTTTTTTTGGGGGGGGTGGTTGTGGGGCTTGAACTCTAGTGCTGGGCACTATCCCTCAGCTCTTCAGCTCAAGGTAAGTGATCAACCACTTGAGCCACAGAGCCACTTCCAGTTTTCTGAGGTTTATTGGAGATAAGAGTCTCACAGACTTGCCTGCCCGGGCTGGCTTTGAACTGCAATCCTCAGATCTCAGTCTCCTGAGTAGCTGGGATTACAGGTGTGAGCCAACACCTGGCCTACATTACTTTTTTTTTTGTTTTTGGTTGGTCATGGGGCCTAAACTCTGCACCTGGGCACTGTCCCTCAGCTCTTCAGCTCAAGGCTAGTGATCTACCACTTAAGCCATAGCGCCACTTCCGGCTTTTTTTTTCTGTTATCTGGTGCTGAGGAATCCAACCCAGGGCCTCATGCATGCAAGGCAAGCGCTCTACCACTGAGCCACCTTCCTTCTTTTTGTAGTGTCTTCTGTTCCCTCATTCTCTCTCAGTTGACCAATCTTAAAACAAACAAACAAACAAAACCTTTGTGCCCATCTTGGGCCTTGACCTCAGGGTCTGGGTGCTGGCCTTGACTCAAGGCTAGGGTTCTAGCCGGGCACCAGTGGCAAGGGCTCTAATAGCTGAGTCACAGCTCCATTCCCAGCCTTTTTTTGGTGGTGGCGATTAACCGAAGATAGGAGTTTCAGACTTTCTTGCCCATGCTGGCTCTGAACCACAATACTCAGATCTGAGCCTCCTAAATAGCTAGGATTACAGGCGTGAGCTTCCAGTACCAGGCCATAAGTGACTAATCTCAATTCTTTTTTTTTTTTTTGTAGGTCGTGGGGCCTGAACTGTGGGCCTGGGTGCTGTCCCTCAGCTCTTCAGCTCAAAGCTAGAACTCTACCACTTGGGCTACAGTGTCACTTCTGGCTTTTTCTGCTTATGTGGTGCTGAGGAATCAAACCTACGGCCTCATGCATGCAAGGCAAGAACTCTACCACTGAGCCACCTTCCCAGCCCCCAATCTCAATTCAAACTCAGGATTTAGGTATATCGAAAATTTCCTAGTAAGATATCTGGCTATAGAAAATATTTAACTATTGTACAACTTGGGGGGTGGGGGGAAAGGAGCTGGGATGGAGGGAAAGTGGGAGAAAAATGAGGGAGGAGGTAACAATTTGTACTCACTACCTTACATATGTAACTGTAACCCCTCTGTAAATCACCTTAACAATAAAATAAAAATTAAATTAAATTTTAAAAAAAAGAAAGAAAATGCCTAATCAAGGAACCATAAGACTTCAAAGACTCTAAAACCACAGAACAGGTTAAGTTGGAAATATACTGATGTATTCATTTTTTTATAAGTCTACTTATCCCCCCCCCAAAATGTATAAACCTTATATATTTTCTCCTTGTCCTATATAATAGACATAATTTATAATTTGCCAAAAATTCCAAAAATTAGAACCTGGCTAAAAAAGTTACACCTCCCTATTTTTATTTTTGCAGTGTTAGGGACTGAACCCAGGGCCTTATCCTTGCCATTGAACTACATCTCGGATCTGTAATCCTGGCTACACAGGAAGGGGAGATCTGAAAATCATGGTTCAAAGCCAGTTTGGGCAATAAAGTGTGTGAGACTCTTATCTCCAATAAACTACCCAAACAAAGAAACATATAAAACAAAAAACAGACCAATCAGAAAAAAAAAACAAAAACAAAATGCAAAAAATCTGTTAACCATCGAATAGAGAAAGAAAAATAAAAACCCAAAAATTCCAACTTCCAAAATCAGGATTGTTTGAGCTATCAATTGTCTATCCTCTCTACTCCTGTAATTAATTATAACCTTACTCTTATAGACATTTAAGTTGGTGAAGAATTGCTCTTAGCTACTGTAGGCAAATGAATGAAATAAAGAGATAACAAAACAAATAAATAAAAGATGCTTTTGTTCTTCTACTCAATAAAAAAATTCAAAGTATGTCTTACAATAGCAAAATCTACCTACCCCACACTCCAGAAGGGGTCCCAATAGGTCTGCATGGCCGATTCTGTTTGCCAGCTTCTGGATTCAAAGAAGGCTAAGAAAAAAAGGAAAACGAATGGTTGATACAGAAAGGTAATCACTGTTACTTTTTGGAAAGTAGCCATTAACATGAAATCTACCAAATAATTACAAACTCTTAGCACTTACAAGTTTAAGACTGGATTCAAAATTATAACACAATATATTGAACTGCAAAGTTAACAAGTATGTTAATTTTAGGCTCTCATGAGTTCCCACCTTCCTAAAGGGTATTTACTTCAAATACAGAGGCATAGAAAGTTCAATGAGGGCTGGGAAGGTGGCTCAGTGGTAGAATGCTTGCCTTGCATGCAAGAGGCCCTGGGTTCGATTCCTCAGCACCACATAAGCAAAAAGAAAAAAGCCGGAAGTGGCGCTGTGGCTCAAGTGGTAGAGTGCTAGCCTTGAGCTGA